AGTGCACAGATGAACAACCGACAAAAAAGAGAATTTTCTATAGAGCAATACTGAGCTTTTATTGTTTTTGGCTCAAGTTATGGAGTATAGTCTTTCTCTTCCTGAGCCATTCAACCTTTTCATGCTCAAAACCACTGAATATTCTCATTTCTGAGGATGATAACTATCCCATACATGAGCCCATCTCTGGTTCATTGAAGCTGAACTTTATGGTGGTGGCTAACATATCCCAACAAACCAAGAATATTCATCTGTTTTTATTAAACAAGAAATTTCTGTTGATATTGAACTTTTGAGGGAGAAGTTGTTCAACAGAAAGACATCTCTGATGAGTTTATTTACCGTCCTGCACCAACATCCAGTCCCAGCACCTCTCAGGGTTACTCCAGGTCTTTTTATTTATTTTTTTCTCAAGTCGTTCACTTGAAAATCTAACTTTAAAACAAGGCTTAAAACTGCCGTAGTGAGATCCCGTCTCGCAGCTCCGGCAGCTCATCACTCCTAAAACAAGGCGCTCTCGTCCATCCCGGCCCCGACCGTTATTAATGTGCGCTGAATAATTTAGCAGGGTAAAATTACCATGCTCTTTTGAAAAGATTTTTGCCTACACAATTAAAGAGCATTATAGTGATTTTTAGTTGAACAAGAATTATGACTGTTTTCCCTCCTCTCTGCTGCACTCTCTGGCTTCGTTATTATGAGCCGTGGGTGAGCGGTGTTGTTAAGGCCTGCTCTGCTCTACTGATGTCTGACTGCTAGGAGAGGTTGTGCTCCAGCTTTGACCTATACCACAATGAGCGGCTAATGGATAATGGATGAAGTATATGTCCAACTTCCGCTGAAAAGACCCCATAATGGTCCTCTAAATGAGCTATATTTGGGCTGTTAAGCAGTTTAGTTTGATTTTAAAGAAGCCTGGCGTGAAATTGCTGTTTCTCCATCCCGGGGCTGCTGGTGTTGAGTCATGTATTGTAATTTCTTTCTGTTTTTCATGAATTATCACTGAATCAACGCGTTAAATCTAGAAAGATTTTTCTAAAAAAAGGATCGTCACAGCTTATTTTCTGAAAGTTTGTGGGCTAACAGTGCCATATTATATTGCTGTTGTACAATAACAGCATCAGCAGGAGCGTTTGCCAGGCCTTCACTCTTATTCCTTGTGGACAACTGTCCACATCTCAACCACAGGCCAACAATTGGCAGTAATTGGCACGTTGCCTTGGCTGTCCTCGGAGAGATCTGAGAGCGCATACGGCCACGGACAGGCTGCCCTTTCCACCAATTACAGAGTTGTCTCCTTGTGGGGCGGGGGCTGGGGGAGGTCTACCTCACTGCTACCTTGTCTCTTGATCAAAATGATTTGTGGAGATCCCTTTTCTCTTCACTCCTCTCTTCGTCTCGCCTGCCTCCCCATCGCCACTGAGGTACTACTGTGTGTGAACTGCTAGTGAAAGTCTTCAGTCAAGGACCCCAACCAGCGACTGACAGCCTTACAGTAGCAGTCAGTGGGACATTCACATTAGAGGTGCTCTGACAGTCAGGCTGTGCTAGACAGGCCTCCCAATGAAAACCCTCCATACAGGCCTTTGCTGCTGGTTTCCTTATACATCACTTGCTGGCTCTCTTCTTCATATGAACGTCATTTTTTCTATCGGAGGATGTGGTGATGAATCGATCCTGGCAGAAGCTGAAGTTTCTACCAAACAGCTGAACTTGAGTCTCTCTTTTTTTTTCCCTCACTTGTTCTCTTGTTGCTGGTGTGTTGGCTTTTTTTGTTGTCGTGTCTCCAGGCACAAGCAGCGCGTTATAGCGGCATGGCTTCATTATTACGTCTTTGACGCAATGATAGCGAGTGTCTCATGTGGTTAAGGATGTGCAGGCCACACAAGGTACCAGGGGACCCCAGTGCAAAGGATCAGAGGCCTGCTAACACTACCCCAGTTTATGCCACGGGGAAGGATGCGGAACCAACACCCAACCCCCTTATTTTCTCCCCTCTCGGTCTCTCTTGTCCTCAAAGCCTGTGTCTCTGCGTTTCACTTCAGTAAATATGAGGAGGCGAGGAGATGCTTCCTATACTCAGAAATATGTGTCAGGCTACTGGGTTATGTTGTGTTGCAGTGCAAGTTTAGAAGGCAACAAAGCAAGTGCGCACAGAGAGGAAGAGAAAGAAACAGCTTTTCTCATTCTCTTTAATCCGTCGTGAGATTTTCAGAACTAGGTTAAGTTACACCTCACATTACCCAACACTTAGCCTTTTTCAGCATTTTACAAGATCTCTATTTACACATGTGGGGCGGGAAGTGCCTGGTGTGTCTTTTTTATTTTCTTTCTCCGTTCAACAATTAGCCCAGGTAAATCTTCGGCGTCGCCACAGGTTGACAGGCTCACGCTAAAGCCGCTTTACTTTTATGCGAGGACCCTCGTAAGGAGGTGGGGGTGGTGGGGCGGCCTACCTAATATGCTGTCTGGCCCCGGGGCCTGTGGGAGTGTGGTTGGGATTATTATGTTAATGCATGTGCCTCCTGCCCTCTCCTCAGTCCCAGCTGGCCTCCCTGTCGTTAGGAAGTGCTTTGCTCTGACAGAGGAGTAATATGCTCCCTGATTGAGGGGCCAAAAGATCGAGCTCTATAAGAGAGCGGGGCCAGTGCTGATAAGCATATGATAAAAGTGCCATTGTATGTGAATGCCTCAGAGACACGGAAGGGGACTGAGCAATTCCTATGGATTTGGGTGGAAGAGTGAATATGTATAAGAGCTGTGTGGTCCCCGCTTTTTGTGTGTGGCTAGATTTAATTGCCCATAGCATTATACTGTATCTCTCCTGTATTTTATTGTACTTTTATTGCATGGACTCGTTCATTATGTGCATATAACACATCCACCTGTAAATATGACGACTCCCACCGAACAAGCAAGGTGCGAGGTTTTTAATCATCCTGTAGGAATCGATATGAAACTAAGACGAGATTTTGTTTAATGGAGTTCATCATGTAAACAAAGCAATTAGGCGAATTTGTATTTTGAGTGCTGTCAGTGAAAACACACACACACACACACCGAGGATATCAGAAATGTGGCGCAGCATCTTAAGTGTGTGTTTGTGTGTCGTTTAGGCGTTGTAACGCGTAACACCATCAGAAAAAGAATGATGACACTGTTCTTCCAGATGACTTTACCCTGCAGATCTGTGTCGCACACTCTCATTTAATCAACCTGACATGAAAGTAAAAAGGAAGGTGAGGAAAATAAAATAAAAAAAGAAACGACTAAACTTCTCGCGACTTGTCGAGAAGGAGAAACGCCGGTTGCGCTGCGATGGATCCTGCATATAATTGTGTAAATATGTCAGCCAAACAGGGGAAAATATCTCCTTTTAAACACTCGTCTTTTTCATCTCGCCTCCTCAGGAGTGCTCGGGTATGGCTCCGCATTAGCTTTGTGCGGGGCTCCATTCACAAAGTGTGTGGGCTGTTTGTGTTTTGTTAGGGGGTTTGTTTTGTTTGCTTTTTAATCAAGTTCAATTTTATCTCCATCAATGCCAGCTCCTTCTACACCCCTCTCTCTTTCTCACGTCTGCCCTGTTTATAAAGTGTCTCTTGTTCGCTGAGGAGCCTTCACTGTTGTTATTGTTTGTTTCCTTTTATGGGGCCCCTGCTGTAACGAGAGGAGGGGTATCTGTGGGTAATTGGTGGGTAAATACTTTGCTGCGACTAAACATCAGGGAAAGAGAAGGTGTAACATGAGCAGGTATTGTGCTGCTTTTTAGGAGAAAGCAAAGAAAACAAAAGATTAAATGGAGATGTTCTTTGAGATGTGTTTTCATTTTTTTTAATCTAAATCATCAGACAAAGTGTTTTGGTTTTCTGGTTTGTTTTATATCAAGATGTGACTGTGTGGAGTTTGAAGTTAACAGAACATCTTGTAATGCCCTGCTCGTGATTCAGAGCTGATTCAGGCTTTGTCAACTAAACTGAAATAATTAGGCAATTAGTTGGTTGTAACAGAAAATGATCTTCTTTATGATATTCATCATTTAGTAACTTTAAGTATAAAGTCCAAACATTATTCAGATTTATCCATCAAATCTAAGGAGTTGGTGCTTTTTATTGCTAAGAACATTTATTTTCATTATCAGTCAGTTGTGTGTCCATGATATGCCAAAAAGTTGAGAACAGCACCCATCCCAGTCTCCCACAGTCCAAGCAAAACTGTAATCTGGGTTTTGGACTGTTCAACAAAATAAAACATCTGAAGTCAAATTTGACTCTAGCCTCGAGATGTCCAGAAGCATCACGTAGGTCGACCTCCGAGTCTGAAGGTGCAACAGTTTAAAACAATAAAGGAAAACTGTGATCTGCATTTTTAATTAACCAAACCTTAATCCAGAAAATAAATATACAAATAAATAAATATATATTTTCCCCAAGTCAAGTTTTTTGACTACAATTAAATAGAAATACAAAAACCCCTCACAGGGCTGAATATTGAAGAACCAGTTAAACCTTGTGTTTATGTTACGTTACATTGAATCTGTAACATGCCTTTACTTTACTGAATCCACTGAGGCACAATTATGTTGCCTTCACTTTCCACTTATATCCGTTTACTGCCTTTTGGGATTCTCTGGGTTGTCATGTGAAACGTCATTTTTTTTATGAGCTGGCGACTTTTCACTCAAGTTTGGCAAAAGTGGAACAAGGGCACTTTGTTTGTTACCCTCTCCTTTGTTGTTTGTTAAAGGCCCTGAGGTTTTAGGCAGCCATAGTCTTTATAAACTCAAAGCTGTGTTAAATGCAGCCCCAGCCCCAACTAATGAGGGGGAGCCTTCAAAACCGCCATGAGATGATGCTGTCAAATGGGTGACATAAAAACGTTGCCTGTAATCCCCCTGTGCAGACCCTGGGTGTAAATATGCCAGCTCCACCATTTTCACAGCGTTTACTCACAGTTCAAACAATCTCTCTCCCTCTTCTCCCCCTCATTCCCTGAAAACACAGTGACAGCTCTGCGATATTCTCCGCCAGAATCCTTGGCTGCCTGCGACCAATGAAACAACCAGGAACGGCTCTGATAATCCTCTTCATCTGCATTGTGGGTAAGACACCTCTCTCTTCTCCTTTGTTTCCGTGCGCTGAAACTTGTGCCACTCACACAGTTTGTACTGAGCGTGCTCAGAATCTGGGTGTGATGTCTGGAAATTAATCCAGTGATTTTTGAGCTGTGACTTGGTGATGTTTGTTTGCACTGTTGTTTGTTTGTTCATGTATAAAGTATTAGATCCATACTGTTGAACTTGAGGGTGAAATCAAATTAGTAGTATGACCACATATAGGCCAATGCAAGGCTTACAGCATTTTACAGTTTATCTTTAATGTCATGAATTGAATTTTGCCGGAAAAATAAGAATTTAACACAGAATTTATACAAAATATTATGTTTTTGGTGTCATTTTGCCCTGATAGCTGAGTTCCCCCCCTGAAGGGAAAGGACATGGTGATAAATGAATGCCATTCATCTCCTTCATCCTACAGAGAAACATACGGTAATGTTCCCTACACATGGTGGAACTGGCCTCTAATCTCACGTGACAAAGTCAGCAACTAAGTTTAAGAAGTTGAAAAGAGGAAGTCTCCTCAAGAGGTCAATCAATGGCATCGATAAGTAGTTTTATTATATTGTGCACAGACATGATGATGCACATGTCTGTATTGAATCACATCTTGATGTCAGTTTAACATTGTTGTCCTGTGGCATTGCAGTGTGTCATAATGTGCCAGCAAAGGCAATGAAGAAGACTGGTTGTAAATGTGGAAATTAAATAGCAGGTTTAAAAAACGAAATAAAATCCACTTTACAAGGCAGGAACATTCATTCAGCATGTTTAGGGTACACCTGTCCAGGGTGTAGCCCCTGTAATGAATAGAAAAAAACACAAATGTGAAATAAATACTTTCACTGATGTTTTCCAGTCGTTAACACGCCCCCGAACACAAGGCACACTCTTGCCTTTTCCTGTCCTTGGAGATGTGACCCACACATGTTCCTCATCCATCCCTTGTCTCCGTCTAGTTTGGCTGCTCATCACGCAGTAATCCATACTGTGGCTTCTCATTTGTAGGCTCCGTGTTTTGTGTGGTCCCTCCTTTGCTTCCCATGGATCTCTCTGCGGGGAGCTGAGCTGACAGACTCGTCTGATTGATGTACTGGTGGGCGTCTCGTCAGCTATTGTTTTCCTCGCAAGCATTCGGTGGCTTCACTCACCAGCCCTCTCTGTCCCTTCTACAGTATGTGGATACAGATCTGTCAGATTCACTCGTACAGCAGGGACAAATGGGTCACATGTCAACCTAAGAATTTCCGTAACATATAGTCACCAAAGCGCAGTTTACTTTTCTTTTGTCTGACGTGAAGTTTTCTTTTAGTTAAATCCTGACGTGCTGTGAATTTGTTGGGTTTGAGTTTCAGCCGCTGCACAACTTTGCCCTGTGCAACTTTTGTTCGGATGACTTTCTCCGCTTCCATATCAAGATGGTCATGACTCCATTCAAGCACAGTACTCACCTTAAGACCATGAATAGTTTTCTTCTAGTTTGAGTGTGTACCTGAAAACTTTTCCTGGATATCAGTGTTCGCTCCATTGTCTGCTCCTGCACCCTTTGATAATCCTGCCCAAAACACCTTAAATTCACAAGAGAATTCATAAGAATCCTCGAAAAACTCCTCTCTGGCAGTAGATGTAGTGTTACTGCCCACCCGCCCGACTGGTGTGGTGGTCAGGGGTAGAGGGGAAAACCAAGCCAGGTATGCGGACACCGGGCGCTCGCACCCTCCCTCATAGCATCACAAACCAGGCCGACACATCCCCCAGTAATGAGCAGGGGCCCAGACTATGGGGTCAATTATTCATGGCCAGTCAGCTGGGAGAGATGGAGCCAGAGAGGAGGGGTGTTGAAGCCTTATTGAATCCTACAATTCTACCACAATCCACACTGATTTTTTTTTTGTTGCAGTGCTGCCTCCATCCACATAACTAAATCTAAGCCCAAGTCTTGTCTGGATGGATGGAGTGTAACTTTAAAAGGCATACATGAGTGACCACTCACTCTAGTGGCCATCCTGCAGCAGCCTCGGCTACTCTGCCATTCTCTGGCCTCACAATTACTGTGTTGAAAGGACAGACATTGATCGTCAACACACTACAGCTGTTTCCATGTACTGCCATTATGCATACAGTAGAGCACAGTGTTGGTCAGTTATCAAAGAGAATTACTCAACATGGGCATCCTCAGTGTCAAGTATTGGTCCTGCCTGTTTGTACCGCTCATGGATTATGTTACTGAATTAGCATTGTAGCTGCTTGTGTAGGTCGAGGCTCTGCCAGAAATAAGGGGGAGGTCCAACACGACAGGAAAACGTATCTTAACACACAACATCCTTCACAAGAGCAGAGGCTCCACAGGGAGTTGTAATTTTCTCATGTTTGTCAAAAACAAAAAAGAAATGGCAGAAATTTCCATGTCTCCATGTTTAGTGGCAATATCTCTGACATCAGGATAATCCATTTAGGTGACAGATTGCTGAGCTTTTCATTCACAAGTTGCACATGAGTCTGCATTTTAATAGTTCACCAGCTCAAGGGGAACGAATAAATCTCGTACTTGCATACTTTATCCACACCAGTGGTCAGAGTATCATTGCAGTGATGTACCAAACAATTTGCATCATCAGATACTCAACTATGTGTGTGTGTAGGTTTCAAATGTGGCTGTTAAAAGTCTGTTATAGCTTCTTGATTGAAGCAGTTTTAGTCAGTTTAAATTCACATCAGTTACTCCAGAGAGAACTGTAGTGATGACACACGATGGAATGAATAAACTATTAAAACTAAAGTTCAACCGAGGTTGGATGATATAAACGGCCAGTAGTCTTTAGAATATCAAGCGTCACTTATATGTTTAAAGGAATCAACTCTTTTCTTCTTCGTTATCTTTTGGCTGATATGTATCGTATGTTTTTTACTCCTCATTGTGCATCGGCCCCATATTGGTTAGACTCCACATTTCCACTGTCAACCCATCTGTTTAGCCTTTTCCGAGCATTTAGTAAGATATATTCTACTCATCAAAAAGATCATCATGAGAGATTATCATGAGTTTCTACCTCAGTTGAGTTGCATTTGGACATTAATAATATAATTCAAGTTGTCCTGAACTGCATAAACTCGGAGTTCTTCGGTGTGTTGATTCAACAACAAGATTCAACATTTAATGGGAATTTTTGTATACCATCTGTTTAAAATCATATTATCACTGACTCACAATTGCCAATGAATAAGTAATGCCCAAAGGTTGAATGGATAAGATTCTTGGTACCTTCATATACGAATGCATAATAATGAACCAAATCAAATCCTGCAATAAAAATAAACATTACAGTACCATTACTGTACCTCTCTATTAAAATAGGTTTCCCTTGAAACTTAATGGTATTGTATATCTCTCTGCTCATACTGGAGGGCATGCTGTGTAGGTTATGCTGCCAGTGACTGCAGTGAGTATGGAGAGACATCTATCAAAATCGCATAATGGCCACCATCAAGATGCACCGTGATGTAAAAACACATGGAGAGAAGATTCCCCTCTTTATTAGCTGTCATCATTCCCATGAATATATGTGCAAATAAATGGCTAGTATCACACGGGGAGCAAATGTGTCCCAGATGAAGCCGTGGAAATGGGAGGGCGGAGGGAGGTGAGAAAGGGTGTGTGAGAGAGAGAGATAGAGAAAGAGAGAGGGAAGAAAGAAAGAAACAGGATGGTGGGGGGGGGTTCATGGATGAAAAATCATCACCAGTCCAAATGCAGATATTGTGGCAGCCTTGCACTCTTGCCGGTGTCACCCTCCATTCGTCACTGTCCACAAGCCTGCCTCTCATTAAGTGGCCCCGCTCCCTCCACAACTTAATTTCCTTAAGAGGACCAGACACCTGATTCAATTGTGCGCCCATTACAGATTTGTTTTCCCCGTCTCGGTCTTGCTGGGACCACATGGCTCTGAGCAGAAACACACTATTAAATGTTGTGGACGTAATTCCCTGACATATGATTCATGTCTGCCTCCCAGGGTACATCCCTCACGACGCCCTTAGCTCAAATGGTGGTGGGGCTCCAGTCAGCTGGACCGGTTCAGCTGTGTGTCTGCGGCGTAGATATTATCTCATCAGTTGTGTTTTATTTCATATGATCTTTTGATAGTGCTTTGTGGACTGCCTGAAGAGTTAGTTTGTCCTAAGTCAAGAGGAGGCCTATTTGTTTTTCCTCCTCAGATTTTTGTGTTTTGAATACACGGAACAGGTTTGAAATCTATTTTCCTCACCTGATTATCGAGCTCAATGGTTTGTTATCACGTCATCACAAGACCCAGGGCTCTTCAATAATTCAGCGCCGCTTTTTTAAACTGTTTCAACACGACTGCTCCTCAGTCCTCTGTCTTTGAAGATCAGACGGCGTAAGATGTTTTTATCTGTACGTCAGCGCAGGTGAGACCTCCATTGTCCATTTGACTGCTGGTCTCCATAGCTTACCTCTCACCTACAGCTGTCAGTCAAACTGCTTTTCCTCTCGTACAGGCTTTAACTGATTGTTGCTGTAATTTTTCTGTCATAGCTTTTATCTGCGAGGTGTGAGTATGTTTGATACCAGGTGCTCACCCATAAACCACACAAAAGCCTCATGTATTCATTTATTTATGGTCCTCTTTCTTTTTTTTACAAGCATCCTGTCAATTACCCCAAAAAGTTATCCTTTGAGGAGTCATTTTTGATCTCCCAATTGTCCAAATAGAATTGTACGTCTCTGTGCTTTGTCTGGTGTCGGTGTTGAGCTGAATTCAAACTAGAACCAGAGATTAACACCCACCATCCTCACATCCACACACACACAAAGAAAGAATGCAGGTTTTGCAAAGACACCTCGAAGATATGAAACTGCTGAGTATGAGTCTGTTTTCAACAGCCACTAAAACATAGAGAAAAACTCAAAGTTATCGAATGCATTCACTCCCCCCCCTTACAGCTCCCTTCCTGTGATGCTTTCCCTCTGATCCTGCTGCGTGTGCATCTGTGTGTGTGTGTGTGTGTGTGTGTGTGTGTGTGTGTGTGTGTGTGTGTGTGTGTGTG